ACGCTCGCATGTGCCGAAACTCCGTCTGACATCTTGCGCGCGATAATCGATACTCCAGTTCCGATGTTTCCACGCAATTTTCCGCCACGATTTTTATCGGGCGCAACCGAATGACACCGAATATATCCTCGGCTCGAATGAAATATCGATAGAGATTTGATTAATCGAGTTTCCGATCGTTCCGTCGTTCTTCTCGCGATTGTTTAGGGTGAGAGTTCGGGAGACAGCGAGATTCCTTTCGAGAAATTAAAAATTGACAAACGATAGAGACATTCGAAAAATCCGACATTTCTGTTCATTTTACACGGGATCTTGAATTCGAAGAATTCGAGAGAGAGAGAGAGAGAGAGAAAAGAAAAAAAGGAAAATCCGTCGCGTGAAGAATATTCGAAAGAAACCGTTTCCGAATCGAGCATAAAAGTTGAATAAGCGGTCGGAGAGCAGCCGCGTTCGTATAGCTTAAAGTATCGTTAATTCAAAACAATTACGAGTTCCTGGCACGCGGCCTCTACGAAGTTGTCGAGTCGTTCGGGCTTCTGGTTATTCGTAGCGAGCGCATTAAGTGGCAGCTATAATTTAAATGGCCGAGTCGAACAGCTTCGTAATTCGTATCTGGCTCCGTTATCGACACGACTCGATGCACCCTCTCTCTCTCTCTCTCTCTTTGCCCTCCAACATTTTTTCACCACGGGCGCGATGAATAAGCGGCGGAAACGCGAGCGAAATCGGGCCAGATTGCGCGGAAAAATATTTATCGAGAATAACTCTCCACTCTTTCTCTCCTTCCCATATATTGGAATATCTTGGATTCGCAGACGATCGAAGATTATCGGGCGAGTGAAGATTCGTATGGAATTCCTGGAAATGCAAAATTAAGATCAGAAAAATTAAGAAAATTGGTTGACTATTAAATAGGAACGGAATTCTTTTTCTTCTTTTTTTTTTCCTCTCGATGCTTCCGTTCACTCGTTACCTTAAAATTTATCGAAAAAAACGGACGTGGTTTAAATTATACTCGGATAAGATCGAGAAAGAATCGGAGTAGATACACGCGCAACGCAATTGACAAATTTCCAATCTAGGAATCTTCCTACAGAAAGATCTCCGCTCGAGATCTTCTTCAAGCGGGAATCTGTGTAACGATCGTTCGAGGAATCGAAGGAGGAAAGAATTCCAAGAGATCCGGTTATCTCTGGACCTCCGAAACCAAAGGGGAGGGATTCGACCCGCGGAGAGGAGTCGCGAGATAACGGGAGATACGAAAATCGCTCGACTTTGACGACGAGATACATCGGCGCATTAGCGAAATTCTCAAAGGGCGGAAATCTGTTTCCTAGGTAACGGATATGTATAAAGAAACGAAGTAGGGCAGTTGCTTAAATCGTGGGCAAACCGTTGTGACGCGAGATTGGCTGGAATTCCCCCTTCCCTCTCCTTTCGGTGATATAACTGCGCTCGCGAATGCAACTAACGCATTTGCAGTTCCAACTAGGTTAGCGCTTAACCGTGTATTCCGTTTCTTCTCTTTTGTCCCTTTTCTTTCCCCTCCCTTTTTGGGACAAAGGGATAAGCTCACAGCCCCCGGAACAAGCGCGAGCTTTGATTTTTCTGAGAAAAAGCTTTTTCTCCGAGAGGCCGGCCGCCAGGGAAGAATCGTTACAAGTGGAGGTAACGAGTTTCGAGTTTAAGTTAAATTTCCTTGAAGTTGAATTTCGAATTCGTTCCCCGTGATTTAAATCGCGATGTCGAAACTCTCGCGAATTATCGACCCCTTATCGGCAAAGTGGATATATATACTTTCGATACACTCGCCGAGATAAACGATTATTCGCGTTATTTATCGTTATTCGGAGAGGAGGTTGGAAGGAAGAAGGGAAGAGGAGAAGGAAGTTGGTAACTTATCGATGCTGGCGGATACGAATCGTTTCGAAGAATTATTCGACAAAATTTCGCGCAAAAGCGTGACAATTATTATTATTATTATATCATTTCTCTTTCCTTTATTTTCGCTTTTTCGCTTCATCAACGTGGATCTACGCGTTCTTACGTTTTCTCCGTTTTGAAATTTTTCAACCCGCGTATATTCGGATATTTGGAATAAAGGGGGTTGCGTATAGTTCGGCCGTTGTTTCATCGAGGGATGAACAAGTTTTGTTTTATTTTCAATCGCGTTCATTGCTCCCGCGCGTCAAATTGTTAAGCCATTCATAGCCGCGAATACGTTACACGTGACAAGTTCAACGTAGAATTGACCGGTTTGAAACTTCCGCAAATGTTGGCAATTTCGCGTTCGCATTGTCAGACAGGGTAAACTTTCCAATCCGTTGGCCTTATACCAACATCGATCACAGAGCACCGCAATTGGGCTCTATATTGTGGATGTAAAACGCCCACCCGTCACTTAACTAATGTTATGTGTACGTTGCTACGTTATATTGGCTTCAATCATAACGATGAACTTGGGACTCTAATGGAAGTAGCACTGAGAACCGGCCCTCGTGCTTCGGCTTATCCTCTCTCCCTCCCTCTTTTTCTCTTTCTCTCTCTCTCTCTTCTATTCTCTCTTGGCTTCTATTCCGATCCGTGATTGGCGACCGTACAATTGTTTTCAATATTCCTGTGCAACTTTAAAAGAGTTAGTTTAAGAAAGATAGCTGAAAATTATTATTATTGTTATTATTATTATTGTTATTATTATTATTATTATTATTATTATTATTATT